TCAGAATATTCCAATCTTGGTCCATATTTCTGATCTTACAAATGTTGCAAATGTTGGTTTTTCGGGCCTGAATTTCATTTGGTCTTGGGCCATAAGAATTTCCAAGATGTAGTAACATTTATGCTCCTACTAATTTTTATAGGAAATATTCAATGGGTTTCGGGTCCAAATTTCACCTTATCTTGGACATTAAGGATTACCACAACTAGTTACATACTCTTTACCCCAATTATCTAATACTTGTAACTTAAGTTGCTCTTGCGTCTCTAACAAAAGATATTTTACAACAAGTATGTAGTACAATATATGTGTTGCCTACAAACTCTCTTGTAGAACATTAAAAAAGAAAACACCGACAAACATCGGTGAAATATGCGTTTACTCTTCTTCGACGTCTTTGTCTATCACGTTCTTCACACACATAACACTTGTTTACCTTCTAGCTGTTACACTTGCATAATTATTGCAGTTATCACCTTACTTGCTTGGTGGCAAAGAAAGAATAAAAATAAAAAAAACATAACACAACAAAAATGACAGTTATAACGGATGCACTCTAGTGCAACAATAACACCATCACAACAACAACACCATCCAGATAATAGCAAACAATAATAACAAAATATTGTCATTATATTCCGTCAAAAGATGAAGATGATCACCATCCATCGCCCAGCGGTGTGATCATGACAAATCATGATAATCAACAATTTTCATGGTAAATCACATTGTCGCTTGATGGGCAACCTTTTACGGTAGAGCCCATGAAAAATGGCAACAACAACAATGCAACTTGCTGTAAAATCTAATTGCATTTGCTCTTGAAAAAAAAAAAAAAACGTAAAACCCAGCGGAGTTATAACGTTTCTAAAGTTAGCATGAATGGACGACAAATGTACAAAACTGACAATGTCATGGGACAGTTGCTATTGTCTATCAAAAGAAGAAAACAATTGCTAATGTTTGCAATTAATAATGTTTTGATTAACTGCCATCATTCACAAACACACAATATCTTAAAGGAAATAAACATCAACATTTTTATAAATTTAAATATTTTTCGTTGTGTGGAGGAAGCACCCCAAAAGAAATTTTTTAATTTTTACCAAAATAAGTTTTCTCTTTGAAATACTGGAATATAGACATAATGGAGGAGTATTAATATTATCGCATCAAGAGTTTCTATTCATACCTAAGGACCTAAAAATAGTTGATTTGTTTGACACCCATTAAAATTTTATAAAAAGGGAGAGGGAGAAACAGAAAGAGAAAGAAAGTAGAGTTACTTGAACATATGTTCGAGAGGGATCTCGCATTAAGGTTTAATATTGTGTAACATGTCAATAATGTTTGGTCTTAAGTCTTTTGTTATATCTTAACATCCGAGCTAAAATATTATCCCGTCCAGGGTTTCCATTAATACCTGGGGACCTATAGACAGTTGCTTTGATTGAAGATTGGTTCATCATGCATATCCATTAACGTTTTTAAGAGATGGAGAGGGGCAAACGGAGTAGAGTTTATTGAACATATTTTTGAGGGAGATCTCGCATTTAGGTTAAATATTGAGCAACGTATCAAGAAAGTATGTGTCTTAAGTCTTTTGTTTTATCTTGTCATCAAAACTATAATGGAGGCGTGTAATATTATCTCATCTAGGGTTTCTATTCATACCTAGGGACCTATAAAAATTGCTTCGTTTGAAGATGGGTTCATCATGGATATCCATTAGCATTTTAGAGAGAGGGAGAGGGCAAAAGAGAGTAGAGTTTCTTTAACATATGTTTGAGAGGAATCTCATATTTAAGTTAAATATTGAGCAACGTATCAAGAAAGTATGTGTCTTAAGTCTTTTGTTTTATCTTGCCATCAAAACTATAATGGAGGCGTGTAATATTATCTCATCTTGGGTTTCTATTCATGCCTAGGGACCTATAAAATTGCTTTGTTTGAAGATGGGTTCATCATGGATATCCACTAGCATTTTAGATAGAGGGGGAGGGCAAAAGAGAGTAGAGTTTATTTAACATATGTTTGAGAGGAATCTCAAATTTAAGTTAAATATTGAGTAACGTATCAAGAAAGTTTGTGCCTTAAGTCTTTTGATTCATCTTACCATCAAAACTATAGTGGAGGCCTGCTAATATTAACTCATCTTGGGTTTCGATTCTTTCCTAGGGACCTATAAAAATTGCTTTGTTTGAAGACGGGTTCATCGTGGATATCCATTAAGATTTTAGGGAGAGGGAGAAAGAGAGTAAAGTTTATTGAATATATGTTTGGAATTCGATAAACCCTTCTGGCAAGTAGCACTACAACCGTGTTAGATAAAGAACTATTAATTTTAATTCTATCGAAATATATTTGGAAAAAATCCAACAACAAGCAATTATTTTCAATTATTCAACACGGAAATTTAGTACATTACAATTGTATTTGTTGCTCATTGTCAAAAAAATATGATTTTTTTTTTAAATTATGGTCCACAACATCATAATCTCAGATTAATGTGACAACCGGCCGTGTAAACATGTTAATACATTGACAAGGTCAGGTAATATGTTTCTGGTATTTAGAATTGAACTAAGAAATTAAAAAAAAAACACATTTTTTTATAAGACTACAAATGATTTGCAACAATGGACAATAATTACAAGTTATTATTTGATAGAAGTTGAAAAACAAACATATGTATGTAGGCAATAATTGGATGACATTAAATCTTAATAAACAATAAGGAAAAATAAACAACATAGGCCCATATACAAACAATATAAGAGAGGAAGCAAAATATTGAAAAAAAAACACCCAGTTATTTTTACCACTCAAAAAACGAAAGACTTAGAAAACAAACTTTAATTATTGGGAGAAGTAATTGGAAGAGAGAAGAGAAAATGCCTGGTTGTGTGTAGACATTTTTGTTTAATGAATCCACTTTACTTTCTTTTGCTAGAGAAAATCTCAATAACAAATTGCCCATTTGTTTTATATTTGTTCGAGTATTTTCATAATTGAAATTTTCTTTTTATTGAATAATTTTAGGCATTTTTTTGCATTTTTCTGTGGAGCTATTTTTTCTCCTCTCTACAAGAGTCAATGATGTGCATCATTTTGACATGCAACTTTGTTTGAGATTGTAATACAGAATTTGAAAAAAAAATAACATCAAGAAGATCAAAAGGGGGTTCTGCAATAGATATGGAGACTATGTCAGCAAATGTAATCTAACTAAATATTTTTGGGAAGAACAGAAGCACCAGAATTTTAAAGCATTTAAATAGCAACAGATGGAGAGAGAGATAGAAAGAGAGTTTATTGATCACATGTGTGGGAGGCATCTGCGTTAAATTCTAAGACGATTTAGCCCTGTCCGTCCGTCTGTTGTAATCATGCTAGAGTCAAAAGGAATAAAGACAGGAAGCAGATCGGTCTTTTGCTGCTGGCAGATCACATTTGAAGATGGGATATATCGGTCCACGATATCATATAGCCCCCATATAATCGTAACAGAAAATTGTCTGTGCAGGTCCACGTTCTCGTATAGCCCTCATACATCGGTACCTCCAAAAATTCGGTATTTTAATGATTTTAGCGACATTATTCATCGTAGTTGTTTCAAATTTCGAATTTTGAGTTCGTTATGGGTACTACAGCCCATAACAAAAATTGCGATTTTAGGTACAATATTCAATGGAATTGCTTCGAATTTCGTATTTAGAGTTCGTAATGGGAACTACAGCCTGTGACAGAAAATTTTGTATGCCGGTCTACGTTCTCGTAAAGCCCCCATACATCGGTACCTCCCTATATGCGGTATTTTGATGGTTTTATCATATTATTCACCAGATTTTTTTTAAGTTTCCTATTTAAATATTGTAATGTCCCATGACAAAAGTTGACTCTGGTCCACGCCTTCGCATAGACCCCAATATAATAATGGTTATATTTGGTATTTTTAAGAATTTAACAGAATTTCTAACGGGTTTTATTTTTTATTTGAAAATTTCCAAATTAGTTCCAAATGGTGGAGGGTATTCAAAGTTCGGCCCTGAGTTTCCCGCAATAAGAAAAAAATATTCGAATTTTGGGTCACGGGGGTACATCCGCCAAAATCAAATATTTGGATTTGAGTGTTAAGTATTGAAATTCTTCAAAAATCAGTTTGGCCAGGAAAATTTAATTCAAAACCACAAAACATTCATTGTTCGAATCGACTAGAACATTTTAGGACAGCCACCCAAATATGAAGGAAGTTAATATCAGCAGAGACAGAGAGAAAGGTTGAAAGAATGAGGACAGAGTTTATTCATACGTTTGAGAGGGATCTCCCATGTGGGTTTAATATTGTTTTACATCTGAAGAAAGTTTGTGTCTTAAGTCTTTCGTTTTATGTTTTATCTTATCTGTGGAATTTGTAATTTATTATTATTTTTTTTTATTTATTTATTTATTTTTTGTTTTTTTTTTTTTTATTGAAAGTTATTTTTCATACTCTAATGAAAGTTGTCTAATAATCTAATGAAAATAAATTCCATATTTGGAAATAAATACAGTTTTTAGAAGGTTTGTGTCTTAAGTCTTTTGTTTTTAACAACAATTCAAATTTCCACCTGAAAATCTAATGTATTTGAATTTAATTTGGATTTGGGTGTTAAGTATTGAAATTCCATAGAAAATCAGTGACGGGAAACTAGTCAGTTTGAATTTAGGGTCTACATCCCTCTATATGTTGACCTCAAAATTTGGATATGGGTTTTAAGTTTTGAAATTCCATAGGAAATCAGTGGCGGGAAACTAGTAAGTTTTCGGCAGGAAAATTTAACCAACCAAATTGGAGGGAAATAAGGGATTCAGATTGTCGTAGGGTAATAAAAATTGATTTAATTGTTTTAGAAGAAGGAAGTTTGTGTCTTAAGTCTTTTGTTTTGTCACCTTTAGTAATTATCAAACATTTATAACAATTACTAATTGGATGTTTCTATTTATCTCTCTCATTGCAGGTACATTCACAACAACAACAACAAACACAATATTTTACACAAACACAATTATCGCCATTTAAGACAAATTTAAAAAATAGTCGATTTCGTAACGAAGTATTTTTCATAAATTTGGAAGATGGCTATTTCGGTTGCCAAGTAAATGCGTCCAGCGACTATTTACAATTATACGAACTATCGAAATTATGCGACGGTTCCCAAGACTGTTATCTGGGTTCCGATGAGCTGAGCAAAGAGCTCAAATGCACAAGTAAGTTGAAGTGAACTGAAAACCGTTCTCACATTATGTCAAGAGTCATTATTCAATTTAATGTTTTATTATTTCCTTTTCTTTCCAAATAATTTCACCCAAAAAAACAACAACAACGACAACTTAGATGACTGTGATAAAGATGGCACTCAGTGCATAAATGGTGTGTGTTTGAATGGTGTTTGCCATTGCAACGATGGCTGGGGTGGTTGCAATTGTAACGATCAAGGTAAGTAAAATGTCAAAAACAAAAAACCTTAAATGTCATCATGTTAATGATGATGATGATGATCATTATCTTGCCTTTGATGGAATGCCATGAAGTTAATGGGGGATATTCTCTTTTTCTTTTTTTATGGCAGATGAAAACGAGTGCAAATCACGTCCCTGTGATGTATTTGCCCACTGTACGAATACACTCGGCAGTTATACGTGTACCTGTTTTCCAGGCTATCGTGGTGATGGTCATCGTTGTGAAGGTAAGTTGAATTGTTTTTTTGGTACTTTATTTTTATTATTTTATTTTATTTGTAAAATAATGCAATTTTATATTCCTAACATCTGACAAAGAGAAATACACAAACAACAAAAACTTCCGCCCATCTAAGATCGGTATAAACCAAAGCCCAAGGAGAACAATACCCAAGCAAAGATACAACAACGACAACAAAATTATCATTTATATATAACTTTTTTTACAATGGCATTAGCATGAAACTGGAAGAAATGTTATACCATAAACATATTTCAAGCATAAAGTTTTACACTCATTGTGTACAGCAAGGCACATAACACATTATTATTGTTGTTGTGGTTGTTGTCGCTGTTGTGCTTGGTTGTTTGTGTAGTTTTCTTAACGGTTTTTGAGAAATGTATAGCTTCCAAGCACACACCAACCAACAGCGCAACAGACCTTAGACCACATAATGATAGTCAACACCAGTCAAGTTGGGTATCTAACATTCTCAGCAAACTGCCATCATAATACTACAACAAGAATAATCACAACAACAAAAAGCGCGCGCACACACACACACACATACACAAACAACAATAATAATTTTCAGATTTGTGTTACTCTCGCACACTCACTCACACACACACACATTCATCCGGTCCCATAACAGCTACTGGGCCATAATCTAGCCTGGAACATGTTCATCTTTTTGTGTAGCTATCTGTCTAGAATATGAAATGAAAAGGTAACCAAAGCTAGAAAAAAACCAACAACAACAATGTACAACAACAAAAGTAAAATAATTCAAGCTATAAAGTCATCGACGATGATAGTATCAGTTGTTATTCTTATGCCATGTTCAGAGATCTGCCGACAACATCGTCTTTTTCGCCATTCCTAAGGTGAAGGAGAACGCAAACGTAACAGAACGAGATTTCTTCGTCTGACTAAAAAGTAGCAATGACGAAAACAATTTTCATTGTTAGAACGACCGGCAATGGAAAGGTGACACCATTTCCAGGGTGAATTTGTTAACAGCAAGTAGTTATTTTCGATAAAATGGGGCCAAATTGGAAGAAAAGGGGGCGACCACGATTTTTTTTATTTAGATCGACGAAGTTGAAGGAGTCGACTTTTTCGTTCTAATCAAGAATCAATTAGTCTAAAAGTCGATTTTTTCGACAAAGAAACTAGGACTTAAGGGAAGCTCTCAGCCTTAATGTAAAGTTGTATTCTTAACCTGCTTTCTGAATCATTAAAATTACAACATTTTTGTATGGTGCTATTTTCCAACCCAAGATGATCCGATTTCTTTAAGCGAAACCAACCAGGTCTTAAGGGGTAGCTCTCAGATTGTATGTAAAATTGTATTCTCATCCTAATTTCTGATCCATGAAAATTACATCATATTCGGATGATGCTATTTTGCATACCAAGATGTTCCGATTTTTTTCCTAAGGGGGAGCTCTCAGATTGAATGTAAAATTGTATTCTTATCCTGATTTTTTGCCTAATAAAAAATACAAAATATTTGGATGGTGCTATATTCCAAACCAAGATGTTGGCCATTACAAAATCTTGCAAATAACTAGGACCTTAGGGGCAGTTGGTTTGGAGCTTGTATTTAGTTGGAGCTAAGCTTCCTCCATGTGGTGTTTGACAGACGGGCGGGAGGTTAACAGTTCCTAGTGGAGACCGAATCCTCTTCGGAACTTCAGAAAATTGAAACATTCCTCCAAGGGCATAACTTAGTTTCAGTTTTTGATTGCTCTCAGTTTCCCTTATACACTCACCGCAATAAATCCGCAGGTTCTGCATTCTTTTGATGTACCTTAAGTATATATGTAATATTTGTTGAATAACAAATTTGATTCCTGTAGCACTTCTTGCTACCACCGAACAAAAGCTACGGCTCTATACCTCATTCTCTGCCATTTTACCCAACTGATTTTGTTAAGATACAATGAGGAATTTCGTGGCTGTGACACTTGCCTTCTCTGTACTTGAGGCAAAGTTTTCGCCCAAAGAATTCTGGGAACAGTATTTTTTGAAGGAGTTTGAGGAGAGGCTTGATTAATTCTCCAAATGACCAGAGTCTTTTACAATATTTTAGCTGGTGGAGATTCTCTAAATTCCCGAAATTCGAGTTCAACTTCGAGCAGAAATAAACCTTCGAGTATAAGAAATAAATGGAGTATACTCAATTTTTCTATGCCACTCGAATGAGTGGCTCGTTCTCGAGTGGTTTAGCTCTTGTTGAGTGTTTGGCAGCCTTTTCTCTTCTTGGAACCTTGTCCGCCTAAGAGCAATTAGATTTAAAGTCCAGATTTCAATTTGAGATTTCAAACAAAGGATTGTTGCCCATACAGCTGCTTCTCTACCATTGTTTGTGTTGTATTGTATTTTGTTCAGATCTCCAGAATACTCGCTCACATTCGAGCAAGTGAAACTCGCTTTCTTTATTTTCTATGCCCCTCGAATAGAGATAATGTTTTGCTCTTTTTCGAGTAAGAGTGTGGGAACTCTTTTCGAGTGTTTGAAAGTTGTTTCTCTTCCGGAGCCCAGATTCTCTTTTGATTTGTTTTGCCATTTATTGCCCAAGCAGCGGATTTTCTAGCTTTGTATTATTTTTTATATAAAGCTCCGAAATACCCGAAATGCTTCGCGAGAACTCCAAAATGATAAAGAAAGGCTGAAGAGTAAGCTTCTTTAAAAATGCATACTCTTCGACCACTCTTACTCGCGAATAAAGAAAAGTGCTTTGAAACGGAACAAAATAGTGAAGAGTAAACTTCTTTGAAATCTCGTTCTCATTCAATACTTCGACTCGATGTTAGATAGAAACTTTTGGTTCGTAGTCTTCGATTGGTTAAAAATTCATAGCATTCTTCATATATTTTCAGATTCTTTATATATTTTCAATAATATTCAATATCGAGCAGCTTTTACAAGAACTTCGCCCGCCATAGAAAAAAATAGAAAAATGCTTTAAAAAAATAAACCCATTTTTCCCAAATATATTCATCAATTTCTACTCTTCACCCTTCTGTTTTTATTTTCCCTTGGTCTATTCTCCCTTTGTATTTAAAACCCTGGCTCATTGTTATTCATTGATTTTATTTGTATTCGTGATGTCCCCCTATCTGTTTGATGGCAACTGGCAGCTTTAGCATTTAAAGCATTGTTTTGTAAGATTATGTAATACTTAAATGTAATGACATAATAAAGTAAGAAAACTACAACAATACAAGAAAACATATGCAACAAAGCCAAGGAGGGGGGAAGAGAATATGCACACCCCAAACAAACAATACACACCTCAAACAACAACATCCATTCTTTGGCCAAACAATTATTTTTTAGGAAAGGAAACTTGACTAAGAAATTATTTCGACTGATAGATGTGCCTGCATCCGCAAAAGTCTATCAGACAAGTTCCGTTTAAAAATGATACCACTGAGTACCATGTTCTAATTAATTGTTAATAAGAATCTATGGCCTTTTATTCTCCATCTTGATTTTCAAGATAATCAAATGACATTTACTTCGAAATCCAGCAAAAACAACAACCTGTTTGCAAATTTCTTTAAATGATGAAATTTTAATGATTGCACAGGTATGTATGTCTCTGAGTGAGTGTTTGGTATTGAAAATGTTAGACACGCATTGTGTTTAAACACCATCTATGGTTATTGGCTAATTTGTTTCTATTACAATTTAAACAAAAGACTTAAGACACAAACACGGTATGCTATCCGCCACATCACAGATGGAGCAAATGCGCTGCTCTCTTTGTCAAACCTTAAACAAATCAAAACCTGGCGATCTATTTGGTTATTCCGTAAATTACATTAGCTTAAAACAGCATCAACAGCAATGCTCATGTAATTTACTTTCTTCTCTCCCATGCCATTCCATCCCGGGAGGCAATGAAGTTCTATTATGGTTTATATGTATTTTTGTATTTGGTGTTTACATGCTCCCGTCGTCATTGTCATTGTCGTTTATAGGCATTTGTTTGTTTGTTTGTCTTTCTATGATTTCCTTATTCCCCAGATGCCAATATAATTTCTTCCACTAATCATAACAAGCCGTTGGCTTTCTTTTGTTGAGAACTTCCCGTTTCTGAGCGGTTTGGATTCGAAATAATTTTATATGCACGACGACAACGTCTTGGTCCTAAGGTATTGATTACAGAGTCAGGAAAAAGTAGTATCTTTGTTGTTGTTACAATAAAGCCTTCGTTGGGCAATTCGAAAAATAAAAATATGTATGTTTTTCATTTGAATTACCATTACACTGTTCCATAACCTGGACAGATACCAACAAGAGTGTTGTCAGCAAGGGAATTCTCTCCATACACATATAGAAATAAAAATAATTTAGAGAGCATAAAAAGGGCTCACAATATATGCATTAGTAGTGGTAAGATATTCTCTTCTTATTCCTAATCAACGAGAATTGAAACCCGAGGGAGGATACATGTGATCTATGAATTACAGCAGGACCAGGCAAATGCATATACATCAGCGGTGCTCAAAACCGTGTTCTAGAACATGAAGAGAAAAAAGAGATAATTTAAGAGAAAATTAAAATTCTGTTTTTCTTTATATTTTACGGTTCCATTTAATTGTTTTTAAACACGAATGTTTGCCAAAATAATTTATAAAGCAAATGGATAAAAAATATTTGTATAAATAATGACTTAACACTGTTTTGTTCTTGATTTAAATAAGCAAAGAGAAATTTGACTGAAAAGAGATATTTCTTTTTGAGCACCGCTGATATACATGCACTCTCTGAGAGCACAATTCTCTCCACGCACACAACCAGAACTGGGGAATAAGTAACAAAGCAACAGAGAGAATATATAAGTTAAAAAAACAATAACTCACACAATAGCAAAAATGTGAGAGAGTAGAAAAAATACTTGAGTATACTCTATTTGCTTTGCTCGTTTTCGAAATTTAGAAGATTATACTCTTTCAGAGTACTCTTTTATTTTCAAACAAGAGTACCCAC